CACTGATATACAACATAAGCAATGATCATGAAGTGGGCACAGAGTATGGGGTATGTACAACGTTACCCCATATAACTCGATGCGAAAGTTGGGGAAATTGAGTTCATTACGTATGGAGTACTCAGGGGAGGATCGTACGGATGAGTTGAAGACTGGGGGACTTCTTTTTTCTCGTAATGATGGATGTCCATGGAGTTATGACCAGCCGTCTCTAGGGACCCATTCTCTCCCATTTCAGATTTCGGACATGACAACGAATCATAAAGTTAATAGTTGCGCTATTTTCCCACGGCCGCTAAACCAAATGGCGTTTTGGTGGCGCTCCGCATCTCCAGGTTTTTGCATATACCCCAAGAAGATCTTGGTCTCGGATTTTTGGGAAGGTAAGTTGTTTCGCCATGATATAGAGTAGGGTACGAGAACAACCGGAGGTATTTGAACCTTGTACTTCGTATAATCCGTACATATGTAAGGGATAGATTAAGTACGGTGTATAACACATGGAGTAAGATAGTCCAACCACTGGACCAGTAGGATTGTCTGATCTGATATCAACCCCCCCCCTTCTGTATTTTGTTCTGTTTGCAGCTAACACGTGACTCAGCCCCAAATCTTATCGACCGCCCAGCCAACAGGTCCGACTTTTCATTGGCAAGTCGGCTCTCGGGATCTTCTGTGGCGCTTATTAGAAGGAAAGAAGAAAAAAAGAAAAAAGAAAAAAAAAAGAAACTTCTTCAATCTCTATATTGTTCTTTATTCTTTCTATAGATTTTCTTGTTATTCAATGTATGAAGTCTCTCCCCCGCAAACGCGGGGAGATAACTCCATAGTTATGTGTCATTGTCTTAACATATGGTTCCTCATTACACCAATGTTGCATTTCTTTTACCTAACGTTCCGAACCTTCTTATCGCACAATACACACTGAATTGGGTTCCTGGTGCTGTGCTTCGCCTTAAAACTCCACTGTCATCCCACCTGAATCCACTTTCCCCTTTGTTTCTGGTGAAGCTGGTTGGATAATCCAAATGTAAGTGGACCAGCGTCGTACTCCACGTGTTGGAGCAGCCAAGCAGATCTCACCAAATTTGGTTTGTCACGGAAATCCTGATTTTATCTCTCTGATAAACTTAGAGTCGAAAAAGTGTGCCGAAAATTCCCTTCTTATATACCTGGTTCCCTCCCCTTTTGATTCCCGCCTGACTACTACGGAGTTAGCCTCATCTCCCAAACACACCATCATGGGCCTCGAAAATATCTCTAACCATGATACCAATAAGGTCATGGGGACGGAAGACGAGAAGGCTGCATATGCTCCCCCACCGCCGTTCGAAGGGGACATGGTTGGGGAAATGAGCGAGGCGGAGAGGAATATCTATGACCACGGCATCAAGAAATTCAACCGTCTCGGCTGGAAACGACTCACCATTGTCCTCATCGTCGAAGCCATTGCACTCGGTAGTTTGTCGATTCCCCACACCTTTGCAACATTAGGCATGGTCCCCGGTGTGATTTGCTGTGTGGGTATCGGTCTTATCGCCATCTATACCAGTTATGTTGTCGGAATGGTCAAATTGGCTTTTCCCGAGGTGGCAAACTATGCCGATGCCGGTCGGTTGCTAGGCCGTCGGTTAGGGTGTGGTCGCTTTGGATATGAGCTAGTCAATGGCATGCTCGGTCTCCAGCTAATCTTCCTCACCGCCTCACATTGTCTGACGGGAACCATCGCATTCCTTGACATCACCAAAAGCCACATTTGCTCCATCATTTTTGCCGTGGTTTCCGCCATCCTCCTGCTGTTACTTGCCATTCCGCCCAGTTTCACCGAGGTGGCCATTCTGGGCTATGTCGATTTTGCATCCATCATCATTGCCATTGGAATCACCATTATCGGGACGGGTGTGGAGGCGACTCACTCACCTGCTGGACTCTCCGGAGTCCCATGGTCTGCGTGGCCGAAGGATAACATCACCTTTACCGAAGCCTTCATCGCTGTGACAAACATCGTTTTCGCCTACAGTTTTGCCATGTGTCAGTTCTCTTTCATGGACGAAATGCACACTCCTCGGGACTTTGTCAAGTCGATCTGGGCGCTGGGTATCACCGAGATCATCATCTACACGGTGACTGGTGCCACTATCTATGCCTTTGTTGGTCAGGACGTGTCCAGCCCTGCACTCACATCTGCTGGAACTACCCTTAGCCGCATTGCATACGGCATTGCTCTCCCTGTGATCTTCATCAGTGGTTCGATCAATACCGTTGTATTTGGGCGTTTGATTCATGGCCGCATCTTCGCCAACTCCCCCATTCGCTTCATCAACACCAAGATGGGATGGTTGACATGGCTGGCGGTGATCACCGCCGCCACAATTGCGGCATTTATCATTGCTGAGGTGATTCCCTTTTTCAATGACTTGCTTTCAATCTCCTCTGCTCTTTTCATCTCCGGTTTCACCTTCTACTTCCCTGCCATGATGTGGTTCATGCTCCTTCGGAAAGGCAGTTGGAACGAGCCCAAGAACATAATGCTGGGAGTTCTCAACGCAGTAGTTTTCCTGATCGGTATGGTGGTGCTTGTTGGAGGAACCTATTCCAGCATTGATGACATTGTAAGTTTTTTCTTGCCCCCCTCCATGATAGTCTATCTTGTAGGAGGAATTGTGTTGCTAACTCGCTCAACTAGATCATCAAATACGACAAAGGAGAAGTTGGTGGTGTCTTCTCGTGCGCTGCTCCCGAGTAAGGTCCTTTGTGGATCTGTTGTTTTCTTTTTAGTTATTAGCATATTTCAACATGAGTTATGAGCGTGCTCAAGCTGGTGCTTGTACAGAACTTAGTCCCCGAATCCTGGCTTGGTTCGAGATGGGAAATTCAATTTCTGGGCGTTGCATCTTCATGGTTCATCATGGGATCCGGAGCAAGAAGCGAAATATGTATATGTATTATAACATTCATCTCATTCAATATTTAATACTCCGTATAAGTCATAAGATTGAAGGTTCATTCGAAGATTGACGAACACTACTCCATATAATCTTGAAATGTAGGCACAATATAGTACTTCGCCCCTGAAGTATTTCGAAGGAAAAACGGTGAGCCACTCCCGTTCTATTTATAGATACTTCCAAGGTTGTTTCGGCACGGGAACCGCGGGCCCCGGGCCTTAATAAGAAGTACAAAAATAAGTCAGACAAGTTTCAATATGGACTACGGAGTAGAGTATACGCATGTTTCTCCCGTACATTAAGTCATTGGACGATGATTGGCCTCGATTCGGATATCGTGGGTACTACTATAAATCGGAGAAACATAAGTAAAATGTGGAGAATAACTAACCAATAACTACTACTAATGAAGTGTTCTATTCGGGTATCTAAGCTGAGAATGAACCTGCGATTGCTCTAAATACTCCATATGTTGTACAAATAAATGACTTATAAAGTGCTTATTAGCTACATATGTAGATATAGTGATTCCAACAAATGAATATAATATGGTTCTGGAATATCATACGGATATGGAGATAAGACATCTATCCACTAATGAGAGAGATCGGCAATATTGCCCCATAAAACAGCCACGTCTGATGTCAATTTCGGGGATATCGATGCTGTACTCCGTAGTCTAATGTTAGAATCGGATGCTTGGCTTTGAGAATACTACCTAGGTAGTCTTTATGGCTGAGACATCAACCTCGTCTGACGGCAGTGGCGGTCCAACACTGGAAGTATAAGAAGGGGAAGCATTTCAGCATTCAAGAAATAGCAATTACCAATCCTCTCAATCCTCTTTATTCTACCATTCTTACATTTCCTCAACCTCAAATCTTCTCATCCCCCTTCTCCGCCAATATGCAGATCAAGAACCTCGCCATCGCTGCTTCCGTCAGCGCCGTTGTCTCGGCCACCCCTTCCACCCAATCCAAGACTTTTGGTCTTGTGGCTATCCACTCTGGCAGTGCGGTCCAATACGCTGCCTTCAACGCTGCTCAGAGCAGCATCTTCGCTGGTCTGCCTAACCAGGGTGCCAGTTGCGCTCGCCCCAAGGAGCAGCAGGCTACCTTCTACATCAATGACGGTGCTCTGTACCTCTACGACCAGTCCGCCACTCCCCAGGAGATCTACGTTGATCGCTCTGGCATGGGTATGTTATCACTTTTATAATCCCACTAGGTTGGCAAATAACTGATTTTGGATAATATAGGTCAGGGCAAGATTGGATACACCACTGGTGCTCAGCCCACTCCCAAGAACTCCGAGCGCAAGGGCTGGACCGAGAAGAATGGCCACCTCCAGTTCGCAGGACACGATCTGATTGCCTGCCCCGACAGCATTGACGGTTCCTGGAGCATCTGGGCTTCTGCTGGCGTTGCCAACCCTGCTGGCAACACCGGCTGTGTGGGCATTGCCGCTCGTGTCGAGGAGACCACGAAGCCCAATGGCTGCAGCTACACCCAGTAGATGTTCCAAGGTTAACATGGAGCATCATGTGAATTTTCTGAATATCTATACTTGTAAAATGTCTGCATATACTTCTTGAGACTGATCATCTGTCTTGATGTTTTGATGCCTGGTTTGTCGGGCTTCCATCTTGCTATTTAGCTAGCATCTGTTTGTAGAGAATCAATCCTTCTTCTCTCTACTTCCCTGCCAAGTTGTAACTACAGCTAATAATCAGGTTACTCCGCTATTCGATACATCTATTATCCCATTTTGGTTTCCCCTACGTTTTATCTTCCTTTTATCCTCGTTTATCCTCAAGTTTCCATTCCACTTTCACTCTATTTCTTCGGTTTTCCCTCTAGCGCCAGATCAATTCCTTGTGAAAAAGGAATAGGCGAAGAACTTATGTAGGTGTCACAAAACAAGGGTCTTGCTTGGCGCGGACGTTGACTTTCAACAGGTATCTGGACTTCTCTACGCTTGATCTGTCCTTTGACTGTGATAGCGATCAGAGAAACTCTTCATTTTTACCCATCCTCGGTCTTACGTGATCGGATGAGGATTCCTATTGCTGTGCAGCTTGGGCTGCTGGTGTTGTTGACTGCGGTACCGGGGGTCGCGGTGTTAGCCATCGCAACGGTAGAGAGTTGCAATCGCCCGAATGAGAGCTGGTTCTGACTATTTTAGTGGTTTACCACCTACAACTTTGTAGTGGACGTCGAGTATGTGCTACTTTTTAATATGCAGAGCCAAAATCTAACTTTGAGCAGATCACAGAGCCTCGAACTCGTTGCGACCACCAAGGCTAGTCAGATTGCTTCAAATTTGGACCTTCTCGAAACAACCTGCAAGTCCATCGCCACACGAGTCCTGATTCAATCAGGGTTGAGATGTTACAATGCAGGAAACACGTCCGACGACAACTGGATAAATCCAATAGCCGACGTGCAATCTGCATTAGGTAGTCGTGGATACTTGGACCTTTACCAGGCCATCATATACTCGAAGGACAGTAAAGGAGCAGGTCAGACATTATTAAGCCAGACCAGTGACAGTGTTCCAGACATCACCCTTCCATATACCTACTCCAATGGAACTTCGGTGCAATTGGGAAATGATGGACTGGGCTACCCCCTCCCGTGTACCCAAATCTGACCTATCTCAGCGGGTCAGACGACAACAACTCAATGGTTGTCTATCCATTCTCCGATTATACACTTGGTTTGGACTCGGCATTGCTTCTTGGTCCATTGAAAGTCAACAACTCCTTCTCTCTTGTGTCATTGACTTTGCCGATTGTCAACAACACTTCAGATACAGAAATTTTGGGTTTCATAACGTGAGTACCTTCTCCGAATGTGAAGAAAAGGCTAGGATTGAAACTCATCAACCGCCCCAAGTATTGTCGCTAGTGCCGCGAATCTACAGAGTGTTGTTAACTCCCGAAATGGGCTAGGAAATACCGGTCAGGTTCTCCTCATTGGACCTTCACGAAAAACAAACACTTTCGCTTCCAGTGAGCAGCCCGCAACTGCTACATCTGCCGCTAGTTCTGCCGATCTTAGTGGAGCGCAGGTCCATTACATCTTCGAGCCTACCCCTCTGCCCACCCAGGCTAGCCGGCATAGTGGGATGTCTACCGATATGCCGTTTGCCCTTTCTATGTACCCAACAGCTCTACAAGTGATGTTGCAACCATACTTGAACGTGGGCAGAGCCATAAGTCACCTGTCAAACCGAAATGAGCGAGGGGCGAATGTTGCCGTGGGTATAGTCCGCCCTCAAAGCACTCTTGTCCAATGGATTCTCCTTGTAGAAGAGACTCACTCGGAAGCATTTGCGCCAGTGGGTCGACTACGGAATATTATTATTGCGTGCGTATTTGGCACAGCGGGTGCGATTATCCTCGTGGTCCCTCTTCTAACCCACTGGGCCGTTGCCCCTATCCGAAGACTACGCGCAGCAGCCCGGAAATCAGTCGAGCCCGAGATTACACGACATAATCCTGCCGCGGAGCCGGAGCACGTTGGGTTTGAAGTCGAAAATGAACAGGGCCATACAATCGAGCGAACTGTGCCACATATGGATGAGAAAAGCGCCCCTAGCATGTGGGTGAAACGCCTACCACGTCCCTTGGGGCGATTTAAGAGTTCCACAAGAATCAACAATCCAAAAAACCTCCGAGGCTTTCAGATGCCGGCCAGGGTCAAGGAAAGAAGACATTGTGTAACGGACGAGCTTACGGAGTTGACTAAAACTTACAACGAGATGTCGGACGAGCTCACAATCCAGTACAATCGGCTGGAAGAGCGAGTGGCTGAGCGCACCAGAGAGCTCGAAAAGGCCAAATAGGCTGCAGAGACCGCCAACGAGAGCAAAACCTTGTTTACCGCCAACATATCTCATGAGCTCAAAACTCCCCTTAGTGGGATTCTCGGCATGTGTGCTGTGTGTATGGGCGAGGAGGACCTGGCCCGGATAAAAAAGTTGCTTCAGGTGGTCTACTAGTCAGGGGATCTTCTTTTGCACCTCTTGAACGATTTGCTCACGTTCAGTAAGAATCAAATTGATCAGGCGATCCAAATCGAGGAGAAAGAGTTCAGGTTGTCTGATGTTTGATCACAACTGGCAATCATCTTTCAAAATCAAGTCCATGAGAAACATATTGACTTCAGCATCAACTTTTTTTCTGGTGGAGTGACCGAATCAAAAGGGACCGTGTGCCGCGAAAGCCAATTGGAACCGACCAATTCAGGGGGTGGTTCAACACAGCCTGGCAGACTGGCAGACATGGTCCTTTGGGGTGATCAACACCGAATCCTCCAGGTACTGATCAATTTGGTCAGCAACAGTCTCAAATTTACACATGAGAACGGGAAAGTAGAAGTTCGCATTTGCCTTGTGGATGAACCTTTCAAACATGGAACTCATCTGGCCCCAAAAGACACGCCTCGGCGCAACTCACGAATACGGTCCAAGACCGGCTCAAGTGCCAATTCATCGATCCATGGTGTTGTGGATGTGGCTGAGGATCAAGCTAAAGGGCAAAGAGTGTCACAGTCTAATCTTCGCCAACTTAACTTCCAATTTGAAGTCCAAGATAATGGGCTAGGTATCCCTAGCCATCTCCACCGGCGTATCTTTGATCCTTTCGTTCAGGGTGACCTGGGATTGAATCGGAAATACGGGGGAACTGGGTTGGGTCTCAGTATATGTGCCCAGTTATCCCGCATGCTGGGAGGTGACATTCTGCTAAATAGCGAAGAAGGCAAAGGGTCTCTTTTTACTTTGAGAATCCCCTTGGGGTATGTCAAAGAATTAGCCCTAAGCACACATGCTTCAAGCATCCCAGGATCGCGGACCCCAAGTGTTCTATCCTTGGAAGACTTCTCCAACGCCGCGCGCACATCCTCAAATCATGGGTCAGTGAGGAGCGAACCCCCTGCGCCTGGATTCGAAAAGTCAGAGATACAACCACGTTTGGTTGGATTAAGTCAACCATTTTTCACGCCGACTGCTCCATCGCCTCCTGGGTCAGTGCCTAGCAACTTGCCATCCAATAAAAGCTCATCTGACAATGGCGATCGCTCAAAAAGGATACGTGTGTTGGTTGCCGAAGATAACACAGTCAATCGGGAAGTAGTTCGAAGGTGCGCGCTGATGGAATTCCCTAACTATGAGATATTTCAAATGCTAACTCGTATCCTAGGATGCTCGCGTTGGAGGATGTTTATGATGTGACAATTGTTAAAGATGGTCAGGAGGCATATGACACTGTCAAATCAAATATGGAGAAGGGAGATGCGTTTGATCTAATCTTCATGGACATTCAAGTAAGAGTCTTGTTTTCGCTCAGTTGTGAAAATACTAATTAATTAATACAGATGCCAATCCTCGATGGTCTCGAGAGCACCCGACTTATACGCCAGATGGGATATTCTGCACCCATCGTCGCATTGAGTGCTTTTGCAGAAGAAAGCAACATCAAGGACTGTATGGATTGCGGGACGGATATGTTCATGGGGTCAGTTTGTGCTAATGAGGAACATCCATGGATGCTTCCAATGTTCCAACGATCTACCGCTGACTTAAAATAGTAACCCTATTCGAAGGCTTGCGTTGAAGCAAGTGCTCAGCAAATTTTCCACCATCATTGAGGAAACGGAACTTGGATCCTAAGAAGGACACATCCATGTTTGTCTGTGAGGCAGGCACCTGATATGATGGGAAAGGGCAAGCAGCAATGGTGTATGTATATAGAAATCATAGTTGGAATGTGACTGTGACTCTGGCTTTGATTTTGGTGGCTTTAGAAAATTGTTTTGATTAACAACATTGGAAATACCATGATAACAGTGGCCTACAGTGATCTATGTGTACATTGACATGAATAACCAAACCGTGCATCATGGATCGTGGAAATAACAGAATGGGAGTTTTGTAATAGCTAATCTCAAAGCTGTAGGTAAGATCATAGTGGATAGGCCAGTATCCATCCCATATCTTTTTGGTAACCGGCCCAACTTTCCATCCTCCACTGGCTTCAAATGTTGCCATCAAGACTGGTGATGGGTATGATACCTCCAGCAGTGGTGCACATAAAGATCTCGTCCGCATCATAAACCTTTTGCACAGGTACCAACTCAACCTTAATATCAAACCCGCTGGCTGGAGGGACATCAATCACACTCTTACGCGTAACACCTTCAAGCACTCCACGAGCTGGAGTGTACAAGACATTGTCCTTCACAAGAACAATATTGAAGCCCGAACCCTCGGTGAGGTTGGTGTCACCGTCGGCCAGGAAGGGATATTCGGCGCCGCGATCAGAAGCCTCGAAGAGACCATGCAACAGGTCACCCCATTGTAGATTCTTGACAGTGGCGTCGATGCAGCCAGGTGGTAACGCGGCGGACAGTTCGTGCGATAATCGCGCTTCCACCAACGGGCTGCATCTCGGGTTCCATGCACCAGACGTAAGGTTGGATGAACATGTAGACACGGTTAGTGAACGATATCCTCAGGGCGAGAGCCTCGAACACTCTTCAACCCACGCGTCACAATGATTTCCACGAACGCGTCACGAATGCCACTCCTTGCCACCATCCCGACCAAAATCTGCTTCATTTTGTTGGGCGGAAGGGGGAGCTTCATGCGTAGCTTAGTGCAGCTGATTTCCAATTGGGTGATGTGGTCATCGAGGCGGAAAAAGGGACCATCCCAGACGGAGGGAACACCGTATGTCAAATCGCTTTGTATAAAGGCTTGGCCAAGGATTGGGATACGGGCCTCGTGGAGGGGGGTAAGTTCTCCTCCACCCAAGCGACACCTTTTGTAAAGGGGTAAGTGTTTGTTACAAGAATTCCGACGCTCCTGATAGGTGGCAAAGATCTTTTCCATTGTAGCCATGATGACTGTTATACTTTTTTTTTTTCCTTTTTTGGAGTTGAGAAATTTGGAAGACCCGGTTGGCAAATTATTTAGGGATGAGAGTATGAGTAAACATAGAGGGAAGGATCTTTGAGTGCCTTTGTAGGCGCAGACATTATGATATCGCCACAAAGGGAAATTGTTGATATGCCCAGGTGGGTGGTATACCTTTGATAACTACCTAGCTAGGTAGTTACCTACGTAGGTAAGTAGGACCCGATTGGGTAAGTGACCTTTCTGATGCGAGGATCGGGAAGGCGGACCAGTCATGGGGTACAACCTTAGAAGTGCCTAGGTGGCGCCTCCAGGATCAGTAGATATAGATGTAGGTAAATCACCGTAGATGTACCGAGTAACTATAACATAGGTAGAGATGGATGTATACAGAGAGAGAGAGAGATAACGAAAGTTCCGCGGTGGATTCCGCGGTGAATTCCGCGTAAATATCACCTGATCAGATTGATTCCCAATTTAGGAGGAAAGCGACACCTTGATTCATTCTTCTACAACATCACACACACACACACACACACACACACACACACACACACACACACACATACAAAAGAAAGATATGGACCATCTTGCAGTCTCAGACGTGATAATTTCTCACCAAGGAAAGAGAACCAATTCCCTCAGATTTGCGACAGATTGTCATAATTGTGCCTCTTTGAGCGAAAAGTGTGACCGACGTCGACCACGATGTTCAACATGTCTCGGGCGAGGCCGCAGATGTGGTAGCTTTGCAATGCCTCTCTCGTGGGACCCTAGACGAATGTGGCCAGACAATCCTTCGGTAGCCGGTACTTCCAAAGACATACCCAATGAGGAGATTGTCACCGACTCCTCCCTTAAGCCTGTCCCCACTGCATTTGCTGGATGGTAAGATTAACCTAAACGTTTTCGCTTTGTCAAAGGTATCCCTAGACTAAAGAAGCGCCGGAGAGTCAACTCGCCAAAGGAGCAAGCAAGCCGATCAGTAACAGAAAACTTGGCGGCTACCCCGGAGGTCGTGCTTAGAACGGCAGCGCAGAACCTGAAGATATTTGATGATCACTAAAGGGGTAATGCCTTAGCTGGTCTGGGTGTGTTCGAATTTTATTACTCCTACAATGTTTCATCGCTCCGTGTTTCTCACAATTTCTTCCCTAGAGCCACAAGACGGAGACCTTTTTGAAGATTTCAGTTTATTCGACTCCATACTTCCTAACATTTTCCCGTCCACTCCCTTCTTCGATATCGAACCCCAGGACACATTGACAGCAGGGAAAGCTGTTCAATTACTCGAATGTGCATTACAAAGTAGCCCAGTGCTGAGTCTATTAGAGCCTATATTAATACTTTTCACTCTTGATGCAAGTCATTCGCATCGGTCATAAAGGTAGCTGAATTTTAACGCATGACCCTAGTGTACCCTATCCGCTACTGGGAATTGGTCAACTCACCTCATGCGGGCACACTCAATGCTCCAAACCCATGGCGGTCCAAGGGCATTGACAACACCTCGAATTCGGTCACAAGTTCGCAATGCTAGTTTGGTAATAACCTAAAACATCTTTGGCCCTACATAACTTGCTGACCATAAAGGCAAGGTGGGATGCCACACTCGCTTTGATATCTCGACAGAATGCTGTCATGGACCAGGCATACTTGGACCTTTTGGTACGATGGGAGCAACAAGATGAATGGTCTTCTTCGATCTTACTGGGTATCCCCGGGGATTACTGGTTCAACGAAAATGGCTTCGGTGGCGGCGCCAGCGGTGACGAGATGGATCGCCTAGATTATGCGCTTGGGACGCCAATGCGGTCCTATTGACTAGAAGTCAACAGCTTCGGACTTTTCAACGAGAACTCGATGTTCCCCATGGTGAACACTCTCTCTCGGAAAACTACCGACCAACAAAATACGGTATACTTTCAAACATCAGGGCAATTCAGCAGTGAAATGTTTGGCTATTGCAAGAAATTGAAGCCAATTGTAGGCAAAGAAGGTGGTAGTAAGAATATCGTGTGATATAATTACAATTGGCTGCCAAATCAATCGCATTCATGGAGGCTCTACCGAGCCACACCATATTTTGTGAACAACGGGTCATCTAGCAGTCGGTCTAGGCTGCTCTCTTCCACGCCGACCAGAATCTCCATGCCACCATTCGGCAAAACTGGGAGCACAACTTGACAGCCATTGATGCAACCAACATGAGGCACTCGTACAGCTTCGATGTTGTTGCCCAGAAGTGGCCCCCACTCCAATTCGTACAATTTGAAGTTCACCCATGAGGTCAACACGCAGTTAAAGCCTGGAACGTCCAGAAAAGCAGTAGGTACAAGGCGATCGACGTCTTCAAGCTGCTCCACAAGAGCTACCACATCATCTGTGAACTGCTGATTGGCCTGCAGAATCCCCTTTCGGATCTCCGTTGCCAGATCCGCTAAACTCATGGTACTAAGCATTCTGCGGACCGGCACCGATATTGCAACATACTCCAGAAAACATCCTAAAGTTGCTGGGTGCAACTCAGGATTTGTCCGTTGCCGCCCGTCAATAGCAATGTTGAAAATAGATACAGGGTCGCCCTCTAGAGTCTCCAGGGGCGATTGTACTGCCATAACTGTACGCCAGAGTAGTGCCGCAAGAGCATCATTGGTCGATATCCATTTTTGGTCGGACGGCTCGGTCGCATTCACTGGGGATGCCTCTGCCTTTAGGGCTGCTAAGGACTCTGGGGAAAAATAGAAAACCTGACCACGATGGCTCAGGGAGGTCATCTTTGGTGGGGCTCCCGGGGGTGTGAATGGAAGAAGGGTGTACTCTGGATGGCTTTCGAGCTTTCCTGCAGTATCACCGGACGACTTTGTCACTCGCTCGCGATCTTGCCAAATGACCTCTGGAAGCTGGATGGGATCTCGAATCTCCAGTCCTTGTGCCCGGCGACACTCCTCTGCCCATATGTTTGTCCAAGTATAGAATGTTGTACCGTCGCCCGCCATGTGGAAGATGCACCACGTCAGGATCAATCCCCCACGGATGAAATTGGCCTGGACGACTGAAACTGGAAGTCGCTCTCCAGCTGAAGGCCAAACAGAACGGGGGCAAAACAAATCGGCATCGAATGATGTTGTTGTTGTTGTTGTTCTAATTAACGTCTATGAGCGAACGGGCGTAGCCCGTTCCTCTACTACTTCGCTATCTATACCTTAATATCTTACTATCTAACCTATTTTCTATTAGTATCTACTATATTTTCTAATTAATATATTTATTACTAAATATATATATCTAAATCTATTATATATATATCCTAACTATTCTTACTTCTATATTACTAATAAATATATATTAAGTATTATTATATAAATACCTTATTTTTTATATCTAAAACTATAAATATTTCCCTTTTATATAATATTTATCCGTAATCTTAGAATAATATTATAATATATATTTAATAATTAATACTATCTTTAGTAGGATTAATCCTATCTAACTATAAAATATATATATTAGGGCTAAACTACTATAACCTTTATATATATATATATCCCCGCTTATATAATCTAAGAATAATAATATATAATATAAAGTTTTAATAACTATAACTAATAATAACTTTATTAGGATTAATCTTATATAACTAAGATATATATTTTAGGATTAAAGTACTATAACCTATATACATATATATATATATTTTAATTAGATTATAAAGATATTATATTTTTTTCGGATAAAACTATAAATAACTTATTTTTTAGACTAGGCTTACGTAATCGATATAATACATTTTATAGCCCTACTTCCGCTTTATATTATAGTATTTTTTAGTATTTTATTAAATTTAATATATAGGGAGTAATATTAATAATTAATATTAGAATTAATTATATTAAAGTAGCCGCTATTTATAATACGTACCGCGGTAAATACAAAATACCGTAATTAATATTTACTACTAGGCTGCTAAGATAAGACCGATACGGATCCGTATTAGGGTCCGTATTAAATTTTCCCGGTCGTACCCTAACAAAAAAAAGTCGAGATTTTAAGTTAACTTTTAACACCCTTACTATACTCCCATCGGTCCCAAATTTAGCATACGGCCTAGTATAACATTAGAATAGAACTATACAAATTTTTAGACCCATCGGAGCACGGGAGTTCATGGATATCTAACCCCCATATCCAAGAGCTTTTTGAGGGTTTCAGGAGCCAATCAGAGCCATAGGGTTGCCCTAGATATGGCGTGGAATAGAGTTAGTTTGAAGAGTTCTGATTTTCAAACAATACATATAGTAGAATTCGAATACCGTTTACCCCGAGACACTTATGCTTTGCCTCAGCTCGTACTCGAAATCACGCTAATCTGTATAAGGTTATTGAAGGCAACAGCACGTACCAGAATGCGAAGCTACTCTCTTTGCCGGGCAGGCGGTCCGGTCGCTCGGGTTGACGGCCCGAGCCGCGTCAGTGTCAGGAACTCTTACATGATTGAAGATGTCTTATATCACGTTGATCTTCATTTTATTTCCATGGTATCCAGGGTATAGCAGGAACTCCTGTTGTGCTCTGAAGTTCCAAATACGCACCGATTCAACGTGTCGTTCAATATGGATGACAAAGCATACGCTCTCCCTCCGAGTTCTCGAGTGCTTGTGACCGGAGCGAACGGCTACCTCGCTTCACAGATAATTGATTTATTGCTAAGTCGTGGGTACCTTGTACGCGGGCAAGTGCGTCAACATCGACAATGGCTAAACGAGCATTTCAAGGGCAAGTATGGCGATCTCTTCGAGTCTGTCATCCTATCTGAATTAGATGATCGCGAGGGCATAGCTCCTTTGCTAGACGATGTAGATGGCGTGATCTTGGTGGTATGGGATTTAAGTTGGTACCAAAGTGGAAATGGCGCGGGACTAACTATTGTTAGGCAATGGATATGTCCTTTGAAGATGACCCGACCATCGTCGAGAAAACAGTGAAAAGAACTCTGACTTGGCTCGAAGTCGCTGCGGAATCACCCTCAGTCAAACGTGTGGTACTGACGTCCTCTGCCTCTGCATGTGTGACGCCCGCGGCGAATTCACCCGCTCAATTTGACAAATGCATGTCCTAGACATTAGGATACGACATCGTGCTAACAAGTACCAGATTCATTCAACTCCGAGGCTGTTGCTGCTGTCCAGAACAACACACCTGAGATCCCAGGTATGATGGGGGCGTCTTTATATGCCGCTTCGAAAACCGAAGGAGAAAGAGAAGCAGTGAAATGGGTGGAGAATCACAAGCCCTCTTTTGTTTTTAATAGGGTTGTGCCTTATTGGTGTGTAAGTATTGCCAATTTCCTTTTGGCTAGATACCAATCACTGACTTTATATAAGCTCGGCCCTCGCGTTCACCCCGAGGCTGGTGGACCGATGGGAAGTATGGGCATGACAAGTGCACTTGTAAAGGGTTACGGGGACTTCATGTATATGTTCCCCCCCAGTGAGTGCATTTCCAACTCTCACTTATACTGTACTAACAGTGTTCAGTGTGGTATGTGAGTGTCAAAGATGCAGCATATCTCCACATTGCCGCTCTTCTTCATCCAGACATAAAGTCGGAACGCATTTTTGCTATGGCAGCACCATTCAACTGGACTGAAGTTGTGGAGATCATTCGCAAAATTCAACCGGATAACCATAAGATTCCCGGTCCACCAGCCGACGAAGGCCGCTGTCTGCACGAGTTCGTGGAGGTCAGCAGGGGAAAGAAGCTTCTACAAGAATTTTGTGGACAGCCTGGCTGGACGTCGTTAGAGGATTGCCTCGTTGCTGGCTTGCCAACATACGAGTGATAGTATGTCAGAGAATGAGGAGAATTCTCAAAGTCGAGTGAAACTATTTGAATCGTTGGTATTTTCCAAGCGCAAATATGCAGACCTCAGTAGGAAACCCAGGGACTAAGCGATTTCTCAGCGGGTTGAAAACCTTGGAAGCGATCTATGAACAATCTAGTGAATCGCAGAAGCTTGTTTTACAGTCTGTTGGGTGACGTCAGTTCTTGGATTTCCAAGGTCTTGTAGAACAAAACTCGTCATATTAACCATAGTAATCTAGCATTTAAATGGGAGAAAGACAGTATAGATAGTGTGTGGCCCAAGGCAATTTTTTTCAAATGTAAATTTGTAATGTCATTCATAGGCGAGTGTGCCACCCGCTTTTCTTACTACCGCATCTTCCTATCTTCCATCCATCACTATGCCTCCCACAAAGCAATAGATCGAGCCAAAATCCAGCTCATCAGTAATGGATTATATTACTTGGCAAACAGGCTCTTCAAAATAGAAAAAGAAGAAAAAGAAATCGCCTCTATACGCGATGCAGTCCCGCGGAACGATTTTTACCGACACATCTATTCTGCACATTCTGTATAGTATTCAAAATCCGACCCATCAAAGTACTCAACTGGCTATGCCCGTCCTATGTAGTTCGCACTGTAACGACCATGTTTCGACTAATCTTGAATCATTCTTTTCCTTGTATTGTCACAATGCAACGCGTTATGGAATCTGTATCGGGTAAGGTATTGACGCCTGCACTATACTGTATTGAGCGTCAACTGTACATAAGTTTACAAAGCATAAGGATTTGAAAGGGAAAACTGCCTGAGAAACTCACCAACCCAAAGCAATTGATTACTGAGAATAATCAGAAATACCGTGAATGCATGGATCATGGGATGTTTCCTAAATTCTAGTATCAGACCAGGATGTCGGACTGCTAATGCGCCGAGCCTGCTTGTTTGGCAGGCCACCGAGTGGGGTTTCGGTGCGGCCCCCCGATCCAGGGAGTCCCTCCAAAGACGGGCCGACCGGAGCGAAGTGCGTCGTCTATCTCTCCCTTGCGACATGTCAGATCCCATGGTGCCATAACCACACCACCATAGTTATGCTATAGTGTCCGTGCCAGTTTAATGTGCTGCTCTTCTTGAAAAATAAAGAGTGTGCACCGGCCGCCCACGAGGACCATCGTTACATGCTGATTTGACGTCTTGGAAAACACACTCACTTTGACCGCCACGATGAGTCGCTTAGGAGATAATTTTGGTATTCTGTATATTGGTGCAGCAGCAGCAGTGTATTTCAAGCCAGAGCATGCTATCTACGACTCGAGACTGCTGACCCTTATTGCTGTATTTTCTATCATCACGCTGTTCAAGTTGATATACAATGTGTCGTTGTACCCAGCTCTGTTTACACCACTAAAACAAATACAGACACCGCCAGTAAGTGAGTCGAGGTGAGCGCACGGCCAATACATTGAATCTGACATTGAGTAGGATAGACACTGGCTTAGAGGAAATGGCGAGTCTATCTTCATCGATACGCCTTTTGAACCAATGAAGAAATGGGCGCACAATATGCCAAATGATGGTCTGATCCGTTATTATATTGTCGGAAATTTGGAGAGGGTCTTTCCGACGAGCACTGCCGCCTTGAGAGAGATATTGGTAAACAAGGCTTACGATTTTGCTAAACCTCGAACAATACAACAATTCTTGTACCCCATAGTTGGACACGGCCTTCTACTTGCAGAGGGAGAAGAGCATAAGGTACGACGTGATTATTTGTCGGCCTTATGCTTGCATTCACTCACCTTCTTCTGTTCAGGTCCAACGCAAAAGCTTGATGCCAGCGTTCTCGTACCGCCACATCAAAGATCTCTACCCAATTTTTTGGGCCAAGAGCTCAGAGATGGTGAAAAGAATAGAACAGGATCTGCAGCACAGAGGGCCCGCTGAAGATAACACGATACAAGTCAGCAACTGGGTTGGGCGTGCAGCGCTCGATATCATCGGCGTGGCGGGCATGGACCAAGACTTTGACTCGCTACGCAACCCTTCCGGAAAATTGAACAAGTCTTATCACAAGGTCTTTACCATGCCTTCCTTTGGAACAAAGATGCTTCTGTTACTTGGCATAATCATCGGCGATATCACATGGGTCCAGAAATTACCAACAAAGCGAAACAACGACATCCAAGATGGAAGACAAACGATTCGCGATGTCGCGCGCCAAATGATTCGAGAAAAGAGGGAAAACCTGAAAAATACTGGCTCCCAGACTAGCGTGGATATCATCTCTGTTGCCATAGCTGGTGACTCTACCTTCGACGAAGAAAAGCTGGTCGACCAGCTCATGACGTTCCTCGCTGCAGGCCATGAGACCACCGCCAGCGCTATGCAGTGGGCTGTCTACACGCTCTCCAACAAACCTGAGATCCAAACGCGCCTACGTGAAGAAATCCGCGCAAATCTGCCCTCCATTTTTGTAGAAAGCCCGGAGCAAATCGACGCCGTCACGATCGACAACCTGCCTTACCTACATGCTGTCTGCAACGAGATCCTCCGTTTTCACCCATCCGTGCCCAACACCAATCGTGTCGCCCTCAAAGATACCACTTTGGTGGGCAAGCCTATTCCAAAAGGTACAACCATTGTTCTAGCCCCGGAAGTCATCAACAAACTCGAGGGGCTATGGGGTCCAGATGCGGCCGAGTTCAACCCCGATCGGTTCATGGGTCCGGGTATGGCGAATACGGGTGGTGCAACTAGTAACTACGCTCTTCTCACATTTCTTCATGGCCCTCGTCGCTGCATCGGACATGGTTTTGCGAAGGGTGAGCTAGCCTGTTTGCTTGCTGCTACCGTTGGTCGTTTCAAATTTGAATTGAAGTATCCGGATGCTAAGCTGGAAGTGCGGGAAGGTGCTACTCATGCGCCTAAAGATGGTGTTTTGGCGAAGTTTACGTCGGTGGAAGGGTGGTAAAACTGATTTCGGCGGTTCTTTGTTGAGCCAGGGTTCGACCGGTATATATCCTTCTCGTTGGATAGATTGTTGTGCCGGTTCAGTGGGTGTTGTATCGCAGTCCGACCGTAACGTGTTAAGACAAGCAAAAGCACGGTAATCTGTTGTTGTAGTGGCCTCAGGCCACCATGTTGGTGCCTCAGGCATTAACCCTTCTGTAGGTAGATAGTCGGCAGATCGCTCTCCCATAGCAATCAACTCTCTCCCTCCTCTCCCTTCGGGCCCTAACAGTAGATTAGGCCTCAACATAATCTATATGTAGGTAGAAACATCGGTAAAAAATAATGGGATGATATCAGAAAGAATCTGACCAGTGCTTTTGAAGTAGGGTGCATTACGTATGGAAAGAGCTTGATCAATTATGCTCCAACATACAAGTAAGAAGTGGATCGATTGTATAAACGAAACTACCCTTCAAGTCATTAAGCAGGTCAAAATCATTCTGGCACTAACATACAAGCCTTGATATTTGGCAACGAGTGGCGGGTCATAAATCTAATTCGTTTCCCCCACGAAGCGTATCTAAAAGGACCGTATCTAATGAATTGAAAATCTCACACCTAGGAGCCGTTTAAGAAAAGGACCCCAACTGCGGCATAAACTCACCTGGGCCCAGAGCCGGCTCTTCAGTTGTAAAATTAAGCGGACTCAGGAACGTAAATGAGGTATCTAGGTCTTGGAACACAGAACTGTCAAACCCTGAATTGCCAATTTCTTGGAGTTCCGACCCCAAGTAGGTGTAACGACTTCCAAGGGGGGAGAGGAGGTCTGTGGAAGAGTACGTGTTTGTTGTTGATTCCGGGCTTGGCTTTTGCCGTTTGTGTTGGGTCTTTCGGGCGCTTGTTACGTCTTTCACGATAACTGATAGTTGGTAGAGCCTCCTGTTGTAAGACTTGTCGGCTCGGCTATCTGTGATTGTTTCAAGCATGTCGACGTACTCTTGGAGCATGCTGAGATCGGACTTTGAATCTTTGTTGCTGAGGATGGATAAAAGAACTTCGTAGAGATACAGTGGAGGAAGCGAGGCAACGAAGCTATATGGGCGTAGCATCATTAGTTATCCGTGTTGAGAGTAGCTATGGCTGCTTCAATACTTACGATGGGAAAACGGCGTGGTTGCCTTTGTCGGGTGGTGAGTTCCAAAGGCTTAGCACAAGTTTCATGCACATTCTAGCGACCTCTTGACATCGTTGAAATATGGTGTCTGGGTGGTGTTGGTGGGGCCAGATGAGTAGCAAATGGATATTCAGGTATCTGATCGCTAATTGAAGCTTGGAAGCAGAGGTCTCAGGCAGTGTTTGAACAATGTCAAAGTCCATTCCCGAGTTCGTCAGCCAGACTTGAAGCTTCGATAACGTCATGGTTGCGAAACCCCGAATCTCATCTTGATTTTTAGGCTTGACTTGATTTGCGTATATTTCCAAGTAAATCGCCTCTTCAATCTTAGCCAGCTCAGATTTTGCGATGAGAGATGACGCAAGGCTAGCTTCGGAGGACGCGACGTATGACTCAAAATGGATATCCGATGCGGGTATGTTTGGAGACAACCCAGCTGTCCAGCACAGTGCTTTGTCAATCGTGTACAAACAGTACGAGGTGTTTTGACGCTCCCTTATATCCTCATCGCTGAGGTGACCTTGGAAAGATTGCCATTGGTGGATACCAGTCAACTTTGCGCACCGGGCAGCGAGAGAAAACAACGTCTCGGATACACCGATAGAAAAATGCTCCTGTGCCACCATGTACTGCAGATGGTAAGCCTCGCACTAGGTGGGGGCAGAGATAATATGTATTCATTTGGGACGTACTAGGGATAAGAGAGCCTGAACATTGATCAGATGAGGTGAGACAAGCTGATCAATGCTTTGAACAGCTCGCCTTGTGTTGGCAAGAAATCCCGCGATCATGTCAAATTCAATTGAGGAAACCTTGGTCCCTTGTCTGTTATGCATTGACTCGCCACGATTCGAGCACAATGAGTCTGCCGACATGGCCATGAGAATGAGGTTATTGCAGCAGATGATAGACGCCAGGTCTCGTTCTGACGATGGAGTTTGTCGTAACGTGGTTGCCATGCAAATGAATTTCTCCTTTTGCCAAATGGGGAAGTGAGGGTTGATTGAGGAGAAATATGGCTCAATCATAGCGTCCAAAATAACAAACGGAGGTGTGGTCGGTGGTGATGTATCCTTGGCGCATTCTCCCTCCCCTTGTTTAACAAGAAGATCGATCTTTCGTTGTGCTTGTGAGATGCAATCCTTGAACGTGTGGCTTTCACTGTCGTATCCATCTATCATATTGTCCTTGATCTTAAGCATGAGTGACTCGAGAGACGTGGATCCAAAGCACCGTTCATCATTATTGTGACCCAAGAGAAATCGACTGAGAGGTCGTTTAAAGTCCCTTGTTTCCAACGTGTCTGGGAATTGCTCCGGAGAAAAATGGGGTCTCGGTCCTGGAGGGCTGGATGAACGTCCTGCAGAATCTGGCAGGGTTACCTGTTGCTCATCGAGGAGTTGTTTCAATGATCTTTGTGTGTCTGCTATTGTGTTCTTTTATTCTGATCAGTAACAGGCAGCTCAAGAACACTATTTGCATTATGCTTGACTTACTTCAAGGTGTTGGATGCGACTTCCCATTCCAAGAATAGTACGGCTTCTGGGAAATTATGAGTTAGAATCGGCACGCATAGACGGAAGTGCGGCACACATACAGGAGCGTTGTTTGATTGCACTTTTTGCCTTGACCAGACCATTCACATTGTAGTCCAAGGCGGGTACAATTTCTGCATGATGGTTTCTCTCTACTGCAGCGAATCTTCCTGGATCGACATTGGTCGCAGACTTTGAAGTAATTGGTCACATTAGCATTTCTTTTCTTTGACTGCAATTGACATGTCACTCACCAGTGTACTCATCTCTATTTGTCTCTCTAGTCATTTTGCTAAGCTTTCTAGAGACCAGTTGACAGCCATGTAAAGTTGTTTTGTTGCACTAGAAAGTATGACAAGGACTGTGCCCCGCGTGGGATTATAGCCAATTTGTGTTGGGGGCCGTGCGCTGGGTACTACCCACCGTACTTTTTGCCTCAATGATAGTGACTTGGCAGGTCCAGTGGAGTTCTTGAATTGGAGAATTCCCGCGCTCATCACATTACATGTGTTAGCACTACGGAGGTCCATACCAAAAAGAATGCAACAAAAGCAATTATTTTAATTACTAGCAATTATTAGTGCGGTTTTTTCTATAGTAAATTACCTGGTTAACCCCTTAATTAATTACTATTAAAACCCCTCCTTTACTATCTCTAGATCTTAGATTTCTTATCATCTGTGGAACTATGGGTTATGACCTTTCTGTCCGGGGTGCTATTCTTTATGTGAAAACCATCGGAAAGAGTAATATTGAAATTGCTGAAGAATTCACTATAACTCCTTCGACTGTTGGCCGGCTCTGGAAACGAGCTACTGATAATGGCTATCAATCTTTTGCTACTATTTCTGATACCTTCGTGGCTAATGCTCCTATTCCCGGCCGCCCGAAGAAGCAAACTGAATAAGTTAAAGAAATGGTCTTTGGTAAAATTCGGCGGGATCGTTATGGACGCGAAAAAACATGTATAGATATCTCGAACGAACTAAAGGAAGAGGGTATTCAATTGTCGGCTATAACGGTGTGGCGATGCCTTCGAAAGGGTGGAATGCGAAAAACAAAGGCGACTCGGAAACCGGGTTTAACTAAAGCGATGCGTGAAGCTCGGTTAGCTTGGTGTCTTGAGCACCGAGATTGGACTTTGGAAGATTGGAAGAATGTAATCTGGACTGACGAAACCTCCGTTATTCTTCTTCACCGACGCGGAGGTTATCGAATTTGGCGGACGAAGGAGGAATCGTTCGTTCGAAGTGCGATACGCGAACGGTGGAAGGGTGCGTCGGAGTTTATGTTTTGGGGAAGCTTTTCGTACGATATAAAGGGTCTTGCCACTGTTGGCTACCGGAAACGACAGTTGAAAAGCAGGAAGCTGAGAAAGAAGTTGACGAACTAAATATCGAAATTGAACCTTTAGCCCGACAAAATTGGGAACTGACATCGGGATTTGGGCGACTTGGTCTTCGGAATAAACCTGGATCGAAACCGACTTGGAGGTTTACTTTAAAGACTGGAAAACTTAGCCGATCGAAGTCTCGTGGTGGGATCGATTGGTATCGGTATTGGAAGACAATCCTACACCCGAAACTGATTCCTTTCGCGAAGGAGTGTATAGTTGACCGTCCGGGAACTGTCGTGCAAGAGGATAAAGCGCCCTCGCATTCACACCATTTTCAGCAAAGAATCTTTGAGATTTCGGAAGTTAAGCGTCTTATTTGGCCTGGGAACTCGCCTGATCTCAATATGATTGAGCCGTGCTGGTTTCACCTAAAGCGTGAGACAACAAAGAAAGGTGCGGCAAAGAATCGAAAGGATGCGATTCGGGCCTGGCAAGAGGCTTAGGAAGAACTGCCGCAAGAGCGAATTCAGGCCTGGATCGAGCGTATCCCTTGGCATATTGAACAAATAATTGCCTTACAGGGAGGAAATGAATATAAGGAAGGCCGAAAGCCTACAGAGTAGGGCTGATTCTGGGGGGAGAGAGGGCCGGGGGGGGGTTTGTTGAAATGAAAATGTATATAGAAAAGGCAAAAAAAAAGGATACATAGACAAAACGGTGGCTGTTTCGGCTAAACCTAATTAGGCCTATGAAATCCATAAATGATAATTGCTTTTGTTGCATTCTTTTTGGTATGGACCTCCGTAGTATCATTCAAGAAGACTGGAGAGCCACCGGATCCACTGGGTCGGCCCGAAGCGGATATTGCCGTTGCCTGATCACGACATTTTCCTACTTCGGCGTAGCTTCGCGGACCGGGATCCGTCCCGCGGACCCGGAGATCGCCCTAAAGAAATCCAGCCCGTGGGAGGTGCTGTCCGACGCTAGCCAAGATGGAAATTTTTGTAGGTACATGTAAATGTGTATTGGATCAGTATATTACCATATCAAGGTTACATTTCCTGCCCCTACCTCTTGAATGCGCCCCCTCTCCTTATTTCAAAACCCCCTGTTCGGCGTACTCCACGTGATGATTCATGCTGAGTCAGAACAATTTCCCAGAACCCTTAGGAAAGGTTCTCTCAGGGGCTCCGGAATCCAAAGATCACTCCAAACACACTCGCGCTTGTCAGGGCGCTACCAGCTACCAATCGAGCTACTGCACATCTTATCTCCACCTTCAACTTTAGCCCTGGCCCTGACGCGAACGGTGAAATATTGTGTTCAAAATGGGCTTCTTTCAGTGCAGCACTAACAAGCCCGAGATATCCGCTCCCGAGGTTTCAGTTCAACAAGATGCGGAACCCAGATCAGAAAAGACAGGGACTGCAGAGAAAGAGATGGACGAACCCATAGAAGCCAACGATGTGAGCGATGAAGCGCAGTCACCAAAGAAACCATTGTCTTTCCACTTGGCATTCATTGGCCTCGCCGCCAGTCTTTTTGTCTTCCAGATGGACGCAACATGTCTGGGTATAGCGCTGCCTGTAAGCCACGAAGATGCCTCTTTTGCTCCAAACATACTTCTCCGATGATGCAAAGGCTAACCCATATAACAGACCATAGCCGGTGATTTAGGCAGCTCAAATTTACAGTCTTTCTGGGCGAATCTGGCGTACACGCTATGTGGCCTCTCCTTGCAACCAGTATGGGCAGCTATCTCCGACGCATTTGGAAGGAAACCGCCTCTCTTCGTATCCATGGCATTATTCTTCATTGGATCTATTGTTTTCTCCACCGCCAAAAACATGAACACGATCATCGTTGGCCGAGTATTACAGGGCCTCGGCGGCGGAGGAATCGACGTTCTCACCGAAGTCATTTTGGCCGACATGACGACGCTGCAGGAGCGTTCGACATACCTTGGCTTAATGGGCATTCCCTCGGCTATCGGTAATATCCTAGGACCATCCGTTGGAGCGCTGTTCGCTTCCTACGCTAGCTGGCGGTGGATTGGATGGATAAATTTGCCTATTCTGGGGGTTGCTATACCGTTGCTGTTTTTCTTCCTCAACTTACAGCAGGTCAAGCTCGAAACCTCTCTCGGCGGCAATATGGCCCGCCTTGATTGGATTGGTATGATGCTGATGATTATCGGTATTACTATCTTCGTGTTGCCTCTTAGTTGGGCGGGTTCTCTATTCCCGTGGGCTTCGTGGCAGACTCTTCTTCCGATGCTTCTGGGGGTAGTAGTGCTTGTTGGCTTCGGATTTTACGAAGCGTACCCAGCGTCACCGATCGTTCCTCGTCGACTGTTCCATTCTACGACTGCGAATATGACATTAGTGGGAGTGTTCTTCCATGGCGCAATTCTAGTATCTCTTTTGCAATATCTACCTTTGCTATATCAAGCTATACAACTCGAAACTCCAATCCTGTCTGCCGTCTCCTTACTGCCGACTGTCATTACCAGTGTGGTATTTGCAGCTATTTCAATGATGATGGTCCCGTTATTTAGAGGATATACGTGGCTCCTCCGGTTCTCGTGGGTCATCCTCACGCTAGGCACTGGTTTACTCGCTTTATTTAACGTCGGATCATCAGAATCAATGCGTTATGGACTTCCGATCTTGTGGGGAACGGGTGTTGCATTGCTCCGTCTCAGTATCCTTCCCATGCAAGCAAGTGTCGAGGATATCAATGACACCGGCCTCGCAATCGGCTTGCTGTTAGCTATTCGCATGTTCGGAGGTCTGGTAGGGCTCACCATTGCTTCAACCATTTTCAATACAACCTTCTCGACCTCGATCTCCTCCTCTTCAATAGAGCTTACCGGATCCCTGGCACCTCTTCGGGACGCCGCCAATGCTGTCAACTTCATTGACAAGATGAGGTTGCTTGATATTTCAGCTGCAACCCTTGATCCGGTCTTGAGAGTTTATCTCAAATGTTTCCAGACCATCTTTTATACAATGACGGGCCTGAGTGGTCTTGGTCTAGTGACCTCATTCTTTGTTGCCGAGATTGATTTGAATCGGAAAAATCTTGGAAACCAACGGTTCGAAGAATAGTTGATGTCGAGTACCAAGCATCATGCATGGTCGAAATTACCAAGTCATTACAAACCGGAAAATCAATGGACCGTCATGATAACGGTACTATACAAAAATATATACATTGCTTAATCAGCAGTGTCCGCATAGATTGGAAAAACAGCGGACTTTGTCAATTTAGTTAGTTAGAGAATTATACATATGTCATTTTGCATACAATTGTCGTGCCCGTCTATTTCTGTCAGTTGATTCAAATGGAGATCACATGACCTACCCAGTTTGAAGCTGAGATTCTGTTAGGATCGCATGGTTTCTATTGGGTAGTACTAATTACTAGCTAAATGCAGAATGTATTACATCAGCGCTAAGCAAGGGCTTGGCCCCCATAGAAAACCCCTGAGCACTTAGTAGCAGTAAGTGCTCTCGCTACCAAGTACTTGGCCAAGTGCCAAGATCGTACTGGCCTGAGGCATCAAGTATGTCAAATAAAGTGGTATTGTAATATATGGGGTACGCAGCAATGGTGTTCAAGTCTCTGTATTTCTGTATCCACTCTCCTAGCAATTTATATGGAGCGGTGACTACATAATATAAATTACAAAACATGAAGGATAAATCAATCCTCCGGTATGCCGGGTATATCGAGTCCATTATTCCAACACACCCCCTTAGCTGTGCCCGTAGGGCACAGCTGTCCAATGAGCTCTGCATGCAGATGTATGCAAATGCATACAGATCTCTCTCTCTCTCGTTAACTAGGGTAGTAAATAACCTATGTCAACCATCCGAAGCATCCGTATAAAGCTCTCGTGCTTCTGCCTGGACAACAACTTCGTCAATCCATCTGCCACTATGCTCGCCGTCGCCACCTAGCACATATTAATGCGCTTTTCCTGCACTTCCTGCCGAAGCTAATGATAATAAATGTTGATATACTAAAGCTTCGTTTCGAATAGACTGCGACATCGCCCGTCCATGGGCACTAGAAAGTGTCCACGGCCCGTGGGCCTTTTGAAATTTGACGCCCATCGCCCACCATTATGCAAAATTAATGCAAAAATTACCCTATTAGGCTATTTTATGTACATAACCAGATCTTGGCAGTATCCACTTTGCCAAGAGTGCCCGCATATGTCTTGGCGACGCTAAAAGTGTCTCCACTTTAACGGGCGTTGTCGCAGTCTAGTTTCGAACGCCGTATCTTCGCTCGTTAATAAACCGATCATTCGCTCGTTATTATAATCGATTGTCAAATTATAGAAAGAGACAAAACTGAGGCTATTTATAAGTCGATACTACTATTACACTTGCTTCCTAGCCTCCGAAAGGCTAAGCAATTCAGCTTAAGTGGTAGATATTATCATAGTAGGCTGTTTGGTAGCCTTCCAATCAATTAGTGTTAGATGAAATATAGGCTATGTAGGAATAAGATGTTAATCTAAGGGATTCGTATTGTAGACTCTAGAGAGAAAAAGAAGAAGAGAAGAGAAACTAGCTACTATCTAAATATAAACCTAAGTCCTATAGGTCGAGATTATATATAGCCCTATATAGCTATTACGTGACTCTAATACCCCCTTTAGGATAAAGACTATTACTATATCTCTTTATCTCTACTAATAAAAACTCTCTATTTTATTTTCTTATTTTCTACTATTTCCTATATATTAAAAACCTATATCTACCCGTAAAATTTAGTATATAGATTAATTAAGACCTAATATCCGGATAAACTTTATATATACTTCTTTATTAAGCGCTTTTATAAACCCGTCGGCGACGTTACTCTTCGTCTTAACGCGCTATAAATCGATCTTTTTCTAGAAAATAGCGTCCTTAACGAAAAACTACTTTATATTAAGCTAATATATATTATTCTTATATAATTTCTTATCTATTAGTAACTATATATTAATATTATCTATTAAAATAATAATTAGATTACCTATCTTAAAAAGATTAAATATTTTAGTAATCTTTAAAATCTACTAGATATTCCTAATAGATCGATCTAGAGTATACTATTCTATAGCTATTAATAATAGAATTATAATACTCTATTTCTTTAAATACTAAATAATAGGTATATTACCGAAAAACTAAATAGTACCTTCTATCGATTTTAAATTATACTAATTACTATATAAAGTATTAGTATATATAAAGAATAAGATATTATCTACCCCTTTTAATATTATATTAAAGTATATTATATTATTAAGATATTTATAAATAGTATAAACTACCTATAAATTATTAGTAGTTAGAGAAGTAAAATAATATTATAACTTTATAATACTAAATTTAATATTAGGCTTAGTTTTAACTACTAACTAGTTAAGCCTACTAATTAAAGACTAGAATAAAATATATCTTTTTTAATCTAAAAAAGCGTTAGGATCTTTATTACC